ATAATCGAGAAGCAGTTTATACTCATATGCTCTTTGGAGTGTGGGGAAACAGTTTATACTCGTGCACCCACTAGAGTTGTATGGTCGTCTTTACTCGACTTCTTTCGTCGTTATGACGCCGGAGTCAATTAGGGCTTGGATCTTGTTTTTGAGTCCAAAGCAAATCTCGGTGGGATGAAGAACCCTTCTGTGGTACGCACAGTAGTTTGGATCCGTAATCCTCTTAGCTCCATCCTGATCTTTAATAGGTGGTAGCTCGATTTTGTCATTTTCAGCTTGTTCACCACGTAGTTTTAACTCTTTCCAAGTGGTGGATGGTACGACCCCAAGAGCTTCCAGGACATCGATGGAGAGGTTATTGTGGCATGTTTACAGGATGAACTCCTCTGTAATAGGATCTCTGCAATTTATTGTTTTGCCACGGAAGCGCTTGACAAAATCGTCAACCGACTCTCCGTCTTTTTGCTTCTCATCCAAAAGGGTTCCGATTGACACTTCGGTGTCATCATCGAAGAAATTACTGAGGAACAAACTTTCCATGTTATCCCAGCAATTGATGCTCCCTGGCTTGAGCCGTCGGTGCCAATCGAAGGCGGGTCCGCGAAGGGTGCCAACGAATGACCGGACCATTAAAGTCTCGTTTCCAGAGATCATGCCCAAATGAGACTTGAAATAAATCAAGTGCTGAATCGGCGAACTCTTCCCCTCAAACGGTGTGAAGTTAATCAGATTGAATTTGGCCGGGTATGGTATTGAATCCCATTCCCTTGGATAGGGACACAGAATACCCGTCCTCTTCACTTCTTGGGCCGTCATCAAAGCGTTGACTTTGTTTTCAAGCTCTTTTATTTTCCCGTCATCGTCTTCATCTCTTTCTGAATGATGTCGAGCAGAGATAATTGGGCCACCCCTAGTATTACTAAGCGGTGCAATTGAACCACCCCCAATGTTGTTATTGGGAGGATCTGTTGAACCACCCCCAACGTTATTGTCATTGGAAGATGTGGCGGCTGGATTCAGCTCGCTGACTAGACTCAGGAGGTTGAGGTTGTTGAGTTAGCAACTCTCTCATTTGTTGAATAGCTAACTTCACCTCTGTCTTCATCTCAGCTCTGATTTCTTCACGCTGCTTCGCTAGAGCTTCTTGAAGCATTTGAGCAAATTGATCAGAAGTGATTGTGAACACTTCTTTGGTTTTTCCCGTGCTAGACATTGTATCATCAGAAGCAATGGCTGAACAAGTGTCTGATAATTCATCCTCCGAGGACATTCCTTCTTGCATTCTTTTGTAATCTCTGCGTCTGATGGCTCCTAATTGGAGTCGAGACATCCTTTGAGCAATTCTTGGATTGACTTTTCCTCTCGGAGAAAAGTCGGGATTTGAGTCATTTGAATGCCGCTTAGACTTTCTTTTATCAGCCACGTTAATGGTGACTTCAAGGAATTCATCATCTTGGGCAGCTGATTTTCTCTTGCGAAAATATCTCGGCTTAGGCTTCGACAATACAGGGACTCTTCGTGGGATGACTTCTCGTTTGAAACAGTCACATTCTGATAATGCTGCTTTAACGAGTCGCGCACAGGAACAACGAGAGTTTATCTCTCGAATAACTCTCTTTCAAAAATTATTCACAACCCCAACTTGATAATACGATTCATCGGTATGATTGCCAAAAAACTTGTTGGCATTCTCAGGACAATTTATCTTTGTCTTTGAGCGATCCAAGGTTATGTCGGGAGTCGCACGTCTAAAACCACCCCCTTGCGGGTATGGAGTCTTAACGGGCTCCGAATGCTGATTTTGCATAAGTCCAGACTTCGGAATCCAAACTTGGCGGAGTTTCGGTGGTTCTTTGGTCACCGCTTCCTTCCTCCTTTCTCGTCTTTGTTGTAAGAGAGCACGAGCATGAGCTGCGTTTGCACGACGCTTTTGTATACGTTCTTTGAGGGTCGAACGAGCCCTTTTGACGAGTGTCCATTCCTCCGTCGTGAATTGTGCAGAAACGTGAGTAGTTTGTCGTTGCGTTGAACAAACCACTTGTTGTTTCCTCGACTCTAAGTCCGCATAATAACGAACTCCGTCGGTTTGTTCAAATGCCTTAGCTATTTGGCGAGCATGGCGTTGACGCTGTCTCTGACGAGCCCTCTTCGTCAGTACCGGTGGGCTTTGATTCGATGACTCTTTAACTAGATAAGAGTCATTGTGAGCAGAGGTGTTGCGAGTAAAATCCTTAGCAACAATCCGGAGAGAGTCTTCATTTTGTGCCTTCTTTGGCATGTAGGTCTTCCTCAATTCTGAGATCCTCTTGTACTTGCGAGACAATGAAGATCTTGAAAATGATGATGAGAGATATTCTTCAAATTTGGTTTGGTCGAATTCGTATTCGACCATGGATTCAACTGGAATCTTGATCGGCTGCGACACGACGGTCTCGGCAGCGAGACCGTTGGCTCCCACTGTGGTCGCCAGCTTGTTTGCGTCAAAAGTTGGTTTTGTCATGGAATTCATTATATCTTCGGTCGATTACAACAAATTCAAAAGAGATAGTCTTTTTATAAGACTTCTTTTACACAACAAAATGAAAATTATAACTTTTTAGAAACAAACGCAGGATCGTTGTTTGGATCGCTGCTTGCGTGGGATCTTTGCCTGTGCCGGGAGCGCTTTGACTCGTGGACCGCCGAATCACAGATTCTGATTGAATCGTGAGGGGTTTAATGATTCTGACTTCGTTTATCGAAGTGAGAATTTGAAACGATATCTTATCAAGGTAAGATAGTCGTTCTTCTTGAAATCAAGTCAAAGCCTGAATATCAAGGAGTTGCCGGAAGCTCAAGAACTCTGCCCTCTCTGCTCTGGAGTGCTCTGAAGTGCTCAAAATGATCAGCCCCTCTCAAAGAATGGCCTTCGGGGGGTATTTATAACCCATAGGAACAGTTGGCGGAAAACAGGCTCGCGAGACAGCATTTGCTGTCTCGGCTGTCGAGACAGTGTTTGCTGTCTCGACGGGCGAGACAGTGTTTGCTGTCTCGGCCCGCGAGACAGTAAATGCTGTCTCGAAAACAGTAACCGTCAGGCAGTTTTTGTTTTAACTGCCTTGGGGCGAGACAGTGTTTGTTGTCTCGGCCCGCGAGACAGTAAATGCTGTCTCGAAAACAGTAACCGTCAGGCAGTTTTTGTTTTAACTGCCTTCCCACGTTTCAAACTCCGTTATTTTGGCAGTTATCAACGTGATTCTCGCCCACGACGTTTCCCACGTTCTTGAACAGTTAGCGAGACAGTAAAGACTGTCTCGCGTGGGCGAGACAGTAAAAGTCTGTCTCGCCAGCGAGACAGTAAAGACTGTCTCGCGTGGGCGAGATAGTAAAAGTCTGTCTCGCCAGCGAGACAGTAAAGACTGTCTCGCACGGCGAGACAGTCAAGTCTGTCTCGCGTGCGAGACAGCCCATACTTGTGTTCTTCTGCCTTTTTGAGCTGTATTCGGATATCTCTCAGCATTTTTTTTTGACGCCTACAATGGGATCATTTGTTTGTTGGACAAATTTTCAAAACCATCCCTTTTTACTATTTAATTGCAAAAAATGACCTCTTTCCATTTTATTTTGAAAAACCGACCTGGTTTCAGCGCTGTCGCTGAAACCAGGTCGGGTTTTCAAAATATTTTTACGAAACTTCACGGGAGTTCAACTCCCGTGAAGTTTAGCACCCTTTTAAACTTTACGGGAGTTGAACTCCCGTGAAGATTATTTTTCTCAATAAACTCCACGGGAGTTCAACTCCCGTGGAGTTACATCACTCTATGGGAAATTTAGACTGCAACTTCACGGGAGTTCAACTCCCGTGAAGTTGCAGGTTTTACAAAACATGCACAGGCTGTTGTGCATGTTTTGTTTTGTATACGTCTATCTATTTAACTCATATATACAACTATTTACCTGTTGACAATAATGACTACAATATATATATGATTTAAACACGCACGAATCAAACAATACTCAAAAAGATCACATATCGAGCTATAATTGATCCATAAAAGTATAATATTTAAAAATTCATACAAGTTACAAATTTTAATAAAATAAGTTCAAATACAACCCAATATAGCTCCTCTCCTTCCTCTCCCTCTCTTCCCCCTCCCCCTCGCTCTTCCCCCTACGCTATGGTCTTCTTGATCCTGCTGAGGAGTCCTAACGCCACCTGATCCTGAATCTCAGGCACCGTCGCATCAATATCAGCCTCAATGCTATCAAAAGCACGGACCTGTGAGGTAAATAATTCCCGTGAAGCTGCAGGCCTTATTTCCCAGTGAGCTACTCGCTGAGAATTTTAGCCTGTAACTCCATGGGAGTTGAACTCCCGTGGAGTTTATTGAGGAAAATAATCTTCACGGGAGTTCAACTCTCGTGAAGTTTAAAAGAGTGCTAAACTTCACGGGAGTTGAACTCCCGTGAAGTTTCGTAAAAATATTTTGAAAAACCGACCTGGTTTCAGCGATAGCGCTGAAACCAGATCGGTTTTTCAAAATAAAATGGAAAGAGGTCGTTTTTTGCAATTAAATAGTAAAAGGGGATGGTTTTGAAAATTTGTCCTTTGTTTGTTTGTATATGACCCCTTTTTATACTGCGATCTGGCTATGGGTAGGTCATATGTTTCCTAAGCTCCCATCTCACAGTTAGATGATAACGGACATTCCTTGTCAGGAGCAAAGGCTTGAAGTTCCTGATCTATTGTGCTCATTTTGTTTGATTTTGATTTCCTTTATTTTTTCAGCTCAACAAGGTAAAGATACGGAAAAAAAAGAAAAAACAAACAAACTGAAGTGAAGCCTACTTGTCCTACGCTCCATTGAATTGTAAGTTGACTTTTATAAATTGTGCTACAAGAATTCTGGACGGAAATTTGCTTGATGCACAATCTACGAATTATAAAAAACTGCAAACTGAGATAAATTTAAGAAGCAAACACTATCTGGACACATTCTGAAAAGGAACATTTGATAAATCTAAGCGCCTGCGCGCAAAAAAAAAACCATCGACAAAAGTTGCAAACTGCTGGAGGAATAAGATATTTACACATTTAATTCAGAAAGAGAGATTGAAAATAGGATCCAAGAGATCAAACCAATGGGACTAAATGTAGGAAACAGTTAAAAGTCTCTGATCACCACGCTTTGGTATCGGCAACTGTTCCTCAGATAAGAGCCGTCATCAACCAGTAACCTATGTTGTCTTCTTATATGTGTACCACTTCGCGATCAGGAGGTACACTAGAAAATTTATGAAGCTGAGTATTGCAAGTAGCCAGTAGAAATAATCAAGATGACCTCTGTTCAGATTGTCAGGAATCCACCCAAGATTTCCATTCTTGGTAGTCATGTTGGTGACAATAGTTACGAGCAGACTGCTAAGGTAGTTTCCAAGTGCGACTGTAGTCAGAGAAAGGGCTGAGCACATGCTCCTCATCGCATCTGGTGCCTGATCATAGAAGAACTCCAACTGTCCAATGAAGGTAAAAACCTCAGCAGCCCCCACAATGAAGTACTGGGGAACTTGCCAGAATATAGACATGGGTAAGTAGTCTTTAGTGTCGTATAAGTTGTCCCTCGCAATAATCCTGAGCCTAACAAGCTCCAGTACTCCAGCTGCTAACATGGCGAACATTGAGATGACAAGGCCGATGCCCATTCGAGTTAGCTGGGTAAAACCACGCTCCTGACCTGTGAACTTGCGGGCCATAGGAACAATAAGGCGGTCATAGATTGGGACCCAGACGATGACACTTATGGTGTCAAAGATGGAGAGGGATGCTGCAGGGATACTGAAGTGGGGGCCCATGTGGGGATCCAGGGTGTCGCCCTGAAGGACAAACATGGTGCTCATCTGGCCATAGACAGTGGAGAAGATTATGCCACTGGCCCATATTGGGAGGAGACGTACAACGCTCTTGAGTTCCTCAACTTGGGTCACTGTGCAGAGGCTCCATGGACTTGGTTGATCCTTGATCTGGTCGTTGTGTGTCTCCACAGCAGCCTTGTCAAAGAACCTGAGAAAACATGTTGATGAGAAAACTAAAATAAACAGAAATTGATTGTATTTCACTGAAAGATGTTGATTCTTATCTGAAAATTAACAAGAACGGAGTTTTTTCCTGTATCAACTAGTTTGCAGCCAAATGTTTAGCAAAATTTTCATACGCGCACACATGCGCCATATGCATATTACAAAGGGGAAAAAAACACGGAGTTCAAACGTTATGGAGAACCATATTTTTCCATGCTGTTTTCTAACTTATCGAGATAATCAAAATCAGAATTGCAGTTTCCAAGGGAGCAGTATATATAGAAAGATACAGAAACAGTAGGCAATAATTACACAACTAAGTCTAAACCTAACCTATAGAAATATGATTCTTACTAACTCCATCAGCGACATAATCCATCAATTGTAGAAAGGCATGAACTGGGTACTTGCTAGTTAATGAAGTCATTCGAAAAAGGAATGTACTCAAAATGATCGCACACTCTCCCTGTCAACCCATAGAGTTAAAGAACAATTTGCAGTGACTTTTTTTGTCAGAGTCTAAACACAGTATTTGGAAGTCTACTATAACAAGGACATACGTTAACATACGACCGGTGCGCACACAAAAAGGAAAAAAAAGGACAATTTGAGTTTTGACAATTCAATCCATGACTGGTAAGGCTTCTGAAGGTGTAAACATGAAAAATTTGTAAATCACAGGGAAGCATAAGGAATAATAGGCCTGAAAATCTCGTAAGGAATTATTTTTACAAAAAACGATAAAGCGTATAAACAAATAAATTAATTAAGCAATATCAAACAGAAGGTGAAAGTTTTAAGGTGGCTTACTTTAGATCATCCGTATGTTCGAGCTTCCGGCTACCTTCTATCGCAGATTCCTTGTCAGAAACCTCATATAACTGAGATTTGTCAGCTGGCACCCTTACCCCATATTTCCTGAATGACGCCACAAGAACCTGAGCAATCCGGGTAAGGGGACTGCCTCCAGGCTTCTGATGCCTATACAATGGAGTTCCTACGAAGAAGCTCACGACCGCAACAGCCATGACAACTGCAGGGATCCCAAACCCCCAACCCCATCCCACATTAGTTTGTATCCACACCAGCACAGAGGAAGCAATAAGAGCTCCAATGTTGATCGAGAAGTAGAACCAGTTGAAAAAAGAGCTCTTGCTTTTACTCTCAGATTCATCGGACTCATCAAACTGGTCAGCACCAAAAGAAGAGACACAAGGCTTGATTCCTCCAGTGCCAAGCGCAATGAGATAGAGCGCTACGAAGACAACTGCGCTCTGTGCTGATGTTGGGTGACAGACTCCATCGTGGCATGTTGGTTTCAGCCCTTTAACAGACGATGTCATGGTCAAAAGAGTCAACCCCTGTGAAACAATTGAAAAGCCATTAGTATTCCCACAGAGAAATCACGGGGGGTGGGGGAAAAACAGTAGAATAAGGTTCTTGACATGTCTTACAATGATATAGACCATCATGAAACTGGCAATCGTCTTGTATCGTCCAAAGTAGGCGTCAGCAACGAAAGCCCCAAGGAGGGGAGTAATATAACATGTACCTGACCAGTTAGTAACATTGTTGGCTGCTCCAGTATTCCCTTGATTGAGGTACTCCTTCATGTAGTTCACGAGATTTGTGCTCATCCCGTAGTATGCCAATCTTTCACAGCATTCATTCGCTGACGTAGTGATAAGAGTGGTTAGTATTAACGTTGAACATAAACAAATGTCGATGAGATAAAAAGATGGGAGTATGATGGATATGATACCAAGAATGTACGGACAAGCCCTCCATCTTCCGGTATTCCTTTTGAGAGCAGGGTTCCCATGGAGATCAGTTGTTCCGTCTTGTGTATAATTGTCCTCGCGCTTCTCCATGGCTTACCGCTATGTGGTTGGTGATTCTGCAATTTCAGCACTTCAGATATTTAGTGGAAATTAAATGTATGTAACAATTGCGCCAAGTACGCGGGAACGTTTGCACATCGAGTATGTAAAATATCCGTCATCAGATTAATTAAGAAAAATTAACCAGTTAGAACTTCAGTAAAAGAAAATTTTCTGCAGTACGTAGATAGAAACTGGAAGAAAAAGGGTAATCTCTCGGAGACGATGGTATAAAGCGTTCAATACAGAGATGACAGCCACGAGTTGAAGGTACAAAAATCAGCAAGTGTGCAATTTGGAAGTCGTGAAAGTCCCAAATTAACAGCATGATTAAAAACTTCACATGGCAATCGCTCGGAGGGTATTTCACGGTTGAGGGTGACTTGATGCACATGTTTTGGTATGGAAAAGATGGTCCTCACAAGACACCTACGTTAGATGTAACTCATTGCACTATAGAGCACGCGGTGATTAAGAATGCACAAGACGATTATAAAACAAGAGCACATGAATCATCAAGAAGCAAAACACAAGGATATAACAGATTTTACCCTAGGGTTCTGGGCGGAGGAGACCAGCTTTGCTATCGAATCGTGAGGGATAGCTAGCAGGGACGAAGAACTCTCGGTCTCTTACCGCGACATGAGGGCTATTTGTAGGAGGACTTGCTAGTGTTAAGTTCCGGATTGAGTTGCAGATTTGATTCGGTTTAGTATTTAGAACTCTTGTTTGTTTCAATTAAATTCAAATAAAAATAATTAATCCAGCAGGAGTCCTTAAACTATAGCGATTGCTTATAAGCAATCCTAAAGACGTACAAGTGGTAGAGTCATCCGATTATAGAGTTTGGATAATTGCTGGAACAGCGCAAAAGAGCCGACTTAGTAGCGCGATTAAAGAAATTCTTGTTCCCCCGATCGGCATCAACGGAATCTTACAAGAATGATTAGTTTTACGCGCACGATTGCGTGTGGCTTGAGCTGCCAAGCGCTAAATCAAATAGAATTATATCGTGACGGGTACGTAAGGGATCCCATGAATATATTAAATAGTATCTCATGGGGTTGCCCGACTTAATTTGGAAAAACAAGAGGTGGGGAAAAAGTAACAAAATCATCCATGAAAACATACCAGAAAACAAAGGATCGTTATCAAAGCACAAACTCAAAAATCATAAGAGAATAGGAGTACGTGCATAAATGAACAGGAAATAACCGATATTAGGCCGATATCTCAACTTACTTGCCGTATCCAAGGAAATAAATCAAAACTTAGATAAGAGCTCTCCCTCTCCCACCCTCTCTCTCTCTCTCTAAATGTGTGAATTACTGGTTTAAAATATTAAGGAGAGTTTGGGGATAGAGAGATCGAGCAGGAGTTAATATGAATGAAAGATGAAAAGAGTGAGAGGGAGAGAGAGAAGATCCCCAACAGCATCCTGCGAAGAGCAGTTATAACTGGTATATTGGGGAATATCCCAAACAAAAACAGAAACAGGGGGGGCCATTTATTTAAAGATTATAAATAAAAATAAATAAAAAGACAAATGAGGCTGGTTGAAGGCCGCAAGATTTGCCGCGGAATCTCAGCACATCTGGGGCTCACGCGACCCAGCAACCCAACTCTCGCACCTTGTTTCCTACTTCGAATACTGATTACTGACCCAGGAAATTAATCTTAGTCATCTAACCATGACATTCTTTTTTTTTTTCTAACCCCTAGAAGATTAATCTTAATAATAATGTTTAGCATATTGTGGGGACCACGCACGAAAAGAAGATAGATCAGAGATTTGATTTTTGAAGATGACAAAGGTAAAGTT